CACATACGTTTTCTCTTCATGTGGCCTGATGTCTCCAAGGTCTTATCTTGTCATCACAAGAGAAGGTGCTCAGCTCTTTTATTGTGCTGGTTACACTGACCTAAAAGCTATAGAGTTTGTCGACATCTTTCTTAACATCAATGGCCTTCTTTTAATAATTCTGCAATTTTTAGTGATTAAAATCTATAGGATCTTTTTTTTTTCTGTTTCTTAACTAATATTTCTATTAGGAGTATTCAAATCTTAACACAATGTCTCTCAAATCACCATACTTTTGACCAGAATAGCTACCATTTCTTAATTCCACACTGCATTAGTCAGAGAATTTAATATTATATCTCATTTAATTTTAATCTTCCTATGACGTCGTTGTCTTATTTTATTTTAAGAAACAGAAGGTAAGTCAAGAACACAAAAGTACTTTTCAAAGGAGTATATAAGTAAGTGGCCAAGTAAGGAAGTGGACACAGGTCTGTCTCAATTGCCAATATTGCTTCTGTGTTTTTCTATTACACTAAAGTGAGCCACAGTTCAGCATCAGCAGCCCACTGCCTGTCTGCCTGCTCCCTGAGTTCTTCCTTCATTCTTCTTCCCTTCCTTCTCCCCTCCTCCCTTACTGTTCTTTCCTTTTTCTCTCCTCTTTGCTTCTTATTCTCTCCTGCTCCTCCTATCTCCAACTCTTCCTCCTTTCACTTTTTTAGTTTCATTCACTTTTTTTTTACTATTGACCCAAGTGCATTATTTCTTTTTTCATATTAATTCTGAACCTGTGCTCTTTCATATTATCAGCTCTTTAATGAAGCAGAATGGCTTGCCTGCATATTTTCCTTCACACAGTCCATAAGCTGTTGTACAGAACACAGCCAAGAGCTGGGTGTGTTGGCACACACTTGTGGTTCCAGCTACTGGGAGGCTCCTTATGGAGTAGGTTTACTTTTCATTCTATCACTATACTATACTAACAGGAGAATAAAAGTTTGAGACCAAACTGAGGAACTTACTGAATGCTGTCTTAAAATAAAAAGGGCAGGGCAGAGTGCTTGCCTAGAATTCACAATCACCAGTGTTAGATTCCATCACCCCCCAAGACAAAAGTATCAAAAACAAAAGTTTATGTCATGATTCTACTTATCATATTATTGTGGAATTGAGTATAATGGCTCAATTTATTTTGTCTTAAAAACTGATGGCTTGGCAATGAATATTTTAGGCTGGTGTATTTTCTTATGAACACACCATCACTTTACTTTCTCTCTATTATTTATTTCCTGATTTACCAAAACATTGTATCTAGGAATAAAATGGGATTCTACTCCTTAACAACAGCATCCACTCAGTGTGTGACTGTTGGCTACCAGATACTGCACTCATGTGTCTCAAAAACATGAACTGTAATTACCAGGACCACTGTAAAATTAGTGGTATTTTCTTAATTATTTTCAATTGAAAAATGGTATTTCAGAGAAGTTACAACACATAGCCAAGCTGGGGTTCTAACATTGGCGGGTGTGTCTGAGATGCTACCATCATGACTTTGCTACTTTTTTGTGATCTGCAGAATGCTTCACAGTGACTTTCCCACATGTGACTGTGAGAAGTAATATCCTGAAAATTCCCAATCTGGAGATCCTTCTAAGGAAAAGTATCTCATGGAAAGAGCTTTGAATAATGGACACTCTGAGCATCAGGACATTTTTGTACAATCCTACAGGCTACTGCAAAATGATAGTCCTATTAGAGTTAGTTTATTTTCTTATTCTATACTATATCAGCAAACACCAACACACAGCCTCTGGTTTTTGGCTGAAAGAGAGTTTTGCATCACTTTGTGCTGCATTTTGTGGTTCAAATGTGCACAGGGCAGTTATGAACACAAGAGTTTGTTCCTATCACAGACTCCTGTTGGTGGCACATTGTGCTCCGGTTCAGAGAGGATGTCACCACGGAGGGCAGAAGGCTTGAATATTTTAGAGCTTGCACAGTTGTGGTGGTAAGAAGACTGATGATGTTTTTGATTACTTTGGTTGTGGAGAACATTTCTCTGTATTGTGTTTCAGAAATTGGATGTCTTCTTAGATATGATCATTCATTTACTGATTTTTTTTTCCACTGAGACACAGAAAATACGAAGTACCAAGGAAAAGCCCATATCTTGGAAATTGAGCTGTTTGTATCACAAGTCAATTCTTATATTCAAAAATCAGAATTTTATAATTGTTAAATTTCAAACTTACATTTATAAACTTTAAGTCACTTACTTTAATCATTACAGTGTAACTTGCACAAGTTTTTTCAAAGCATATAAGTACTCTTTACTAGGAATATCAGTACCATAATATTTTTATTTCATTTTTTAATTCAATATCTTGTGTGAACATACTCTTATCAAACAGCACATCTCACTGTAGAAAAGTACTGTCACGTTAGCTAATTTCTTTGTCATGTGATCTTATATTACTTTCATTGAATGAGTAAATTAATCTATGATCAGGATTATTTTGAGATCCTTCAGAAATAAAACACAGTCAAAGAAATTACTGACCACTGTATGTGTGTTGTGAATAAAGCCATGTGTCAATTGGCATCCAAGTATAGCTTATTTATTAATAAAGCAATGTCTTTCTCCATGAACATACAGGCCCATTTTTTGTACTGTCTCACCATTAGCCTCTATTACAGATTACAGAAAAAAAACTAAATAAATTTCTGATTTTTATGCATTCATTTTAGTTAAAAAACAAAATTTCATTACACTATTCTCTTCTTATAAGGGTTGCACATATGCCAAGAGCCGATTCAGTGGTTTCACTCAAACATAACCCAAATATGAGATTACCTCAATATGCAATAATAACTACTGTTGCACTTACATAAAGCAGTAAAAATATTTGGCAAGAGCATACCATGCCTTCCTATTTGAGCACAAACTGTGTTGTACAACCTTATTAATCTGTTTTTTGCAATTATTTGCAATAAATGCAATTAAGATCATGGTTTAAAATATTATCTAACAAATATTTCTGAGAAAGCCAGGTAATTAAATCACAAAATTTGTATCCAATTACCATCATTTCATTTCTGATTTGATCTCATTACTTTATTACTGGTGTTTATACTCTTGTACCCCCTTGGGTAGCCACAGAAACCTTTTCAAAACACAAATTCGGTCAGGTCAAAACTCTCCAAGGGCTTCTGATCATACTTAGAATGAAGTTCAATGACTGTGGTTTATGAATGCTTAGGTGACCACAGAGTTCCAGCTGCCTAGATCGAGGGACCCTATCTCACTTCTTGCACTGCACATATACTGCCTTTTGGGCTATTATTTTTATGTATTATGACCATAATTGCCTATGGGTTTTTGCACTTGTGGTTTCTCTGCCTAGAACAGGTTTCCTCCTGATTATTTTAATTAGGTTTTTAAATCTGATCACACTGACTTAGTACAGTCCTTACCCTCACACCTCTATACCACTTTACTTTTTTCCCTAGTCTTGTCACTTTTTGATATTCAACTGTGTACTTATCTTAATGGAACGTAATTTCCATGAACTCAGACTGAATTGGTCAGGAGCTATTGTATATACTCAGTGAGCAGAAATAAATAAAAGCAGAATGCAATGACACAGAAAAAATGATAAAAATCTCTAAAAAAGGAAAAATTTGCCACACAGTCTCAGGTAAATGGCACTCTATGAAGAAAGAAAAAGTGTAGGAAATGTAGCCTTGGTCTACGGAGAGGTCATAAATAGGAGTTTAACCAAGAGAAAGTCTGTGGGGTTTCTCTCTAACTTATATATTTTCCACTGAAGGGAAGCCAGTGGAAGAGAACTCAGACACTCTTGAAGAATTTTTTTAAGCCTTTGATTATTAGGTTAAAATTTTGAGAAATAATTGTGTGCTTATCCAACCTGTGTTCATTTTTAACAAAAATTAAATAGTGAAAAACTTCATCTGATAAAGATTTAACAAAAACATAGTATAGGTTGAATACTAGAAAAGTCCCAGATACTAACTGCATTGTACAGGTTACAGTTTATGTTTTTAGAAATATTTTTACATCTCTACTTTAGTCAGCTGGCTGTTTTGCAGACCTAACTGCATAAACTAGTATTAGTGGCTATGTGCATTATCCACAAGTCAATTTCTAAAGAGTAAGGGAGGTTGAAATATGAATTCCTTGAGAGGCATAACACTCTTATGGTACCATAAGCTATCCAGGTAATCATTGGCTTCATTTGACTTTGGAGAGGATACCAGTAAATAATTCATCACTGAGAACTTGAGATGGGAAAATACACTGGATTACAGGCTGTGATAGTTAATGAATTATCTAGTATCTGATAGCCTTGGGGTAATGGGTTATTGAATAAGACTAGATAGCTTATACAGCTCAAGAAACTTTTCTTATAACTGATTTAATTAATTAGTTGGACGGTCAATTCCACTACAAGTCAATACAAAATTTAAATAGTTACTTTAACACATTTGTTTCACCTTATGCCTCTTGAAACCACTAGCCAGGAAAGCATTATTAGGATTGGCTACAAAGGTTTATCAGTCTTTTCATTACCAGGATAGACTGTAATATTTGAATGCCTACACCTTTAGGAGGTTGCTCTTGATGATTTTCCTGTGAAATAAGTACTTGACTGTTAACTTTTAAGAAAAGCACAGGCCTTTTTAATTATGGCTGCTTTTACTTGAATTTCCAGGTGGCTTCCTGTGATTCATAAACAGTTTAGGCTTCAGGCAACAGTCACTTGACGAAGTAATCTATGCCTCAGTATTATAAATCAACATCTGGTTTTATATGAATATATAAATCCTAGCTGGATCTAATTTAAGAATTGCACGCACTAAATTTTATTTTATAATCTAAGCAGCTAAAAACAAAAAGTTAAGATGTAGATTCAATCTTGACTATGTCAACTGTGTGGAAAAGACATGTTTTCTATTCAGAGGACATATGGCTGAATATTAAAATGTTAGTATCCTACCTCTCGAATTGCTGTACAAAACTCACTCTGAAGCACTTTTTTGAGGGACTGCAGCTTGTGCACTGGTACTTCTCCAGATTCCTGTAGCTTTTCTAGTAATTCAATTGCTCTTGCAACATCTGAATGAAAAAATCAAAATGGAGAGACATATGATAAATCACATCTCATCAGCATAATTAACATTATTCCAACTGAGTTATATCAACTGAAAACTCAGAAGAATTAACTGTAGCATCAGAATTTATAACTTAGCTTATTGATTTCATCTTTCAGTGATAGTCATTTTAACCTGCTCCACATAATTTGTTACTTAATACATCTTTTTGATGACATTTCACATATACTAGTTTTGTCATATAAATCTGTTTGAGTAAAGAAAAAAAGAGAAAGAAACATGTCTGTCACTTATTCTGATATCTCTGTAACCAAGTAGTTCTATCAGTTTTACCTCTGGGAAGCTTTTGTTTGAATTTTCACATGTGACATTTACCACACCAAAATCTCGTATTTGTTAGTATGATATTTAATTGGTACATATTTCCTTCACTTGTATATAAATTCCTTGAACATAGGCACCTGTCTGGTTTGTTTGACAACACAACCCATACTGTGATATAAAACAATGAATTAATATTTGGTGAAGAAATGAGCTAAGGGACTCTCCATTTCACACCTTTGCAATATTCCAGGTCCTCATCATCTCTCCTCTGTCCAGCTGGAATAATTTTTTCTTCCCCAGCCTCTTCATATGGCCCACAGAGTGATCTTCCTAACACAAAAATCTCACCATTTATCAACCTATCAGCTTGTAGAGCAATGCCAGTCAAAAGAGTTTTCAATGTCAGTATCAGAGGTTAACGTATCAAGGAACCGTCTTTTATGGCTGTGAAATTTTAAAATCCCTGAATTATTTCACATTCCTAAGGGAACATGCCACAAAAAAAAGCCATTTTAAAATACTTATAATTATTTCTTCCATCCTTTTGCCGTAGTCAACACTTCATGAAAAATCACTTTGTCACTTAACTAGTAGGATATGATTAATTCCTAGGTCACTAGCTCCAGACAGTATCATATATTCCTGAAGTTAGATTATAAATTCCATCCATCCATCCATGGATCAATTTGAGTTTCCATTATAATTGGCATTAAGTTTAGCAAGAATAACACAATTCCTTCCCATATTCACATAACTCATAATCTAATGAGAAAATAATGTAACAGCATATCCACCTATGATGAAATTTTACTATTCAGAATTTAGAAGTGGGGTTAGTGTAGGTGTATCTATCTAATCGAAGAATAAAATCGCAAAGTGACTTTGCAGAGACTCTCTTTGAAGCAGTTATTTTGATGGCCAGTTGTAGGCTAAAGTAACACAAATCATGAAATCAATATGACACTATCAGTTTCCAAAGTTTGTCTTTTAGTACATAAGCTGAAAGACAACACAGTTAATTGGAGAACTATAATCAATAATATACCAAGGTGAGATTTTATGCATTTCCCACTGCATAAAACACTGTACACAGATAGCCGACAGGTTCGTAGAACTCACAATATGTTTAAAATTGAGCTCATTATTTCTTTCCCTGAAAAGTTTCCTCCCCTTAAATTCTGTATTTCCATTAATAGTATTGCAAGCTGCCTATCTCCTATTATAGCCCATGTTATCATCTTTCACGTTCACTCCCCCACATGCAATTAGTTACCAATTATTATTGCTATAGTCTATCCCCAAAAATGCTTTAAGAATGTAGCTCTTTCAGTCCATTATTTCAGGGAAGCCTTCATCATTTCTCACCTGTAGTACCGGAACAACTCCTGACCAGTTTCCTTTAAATTAGTCTTTCAGTTCATCTTCCACACTGCTTCTAGAGTAATTAATTGTCCTTAATGATAAGCCTATTATTCTTCTTTACTAAAACCTTACTGATCATCACATCCTTTAGGATGAAGTTCAGATCACTTAGGGTTTTATAGAAGGCCTTTAGTAGGTGACTTCTTTGCATTAATCTGTGGACCCTCTTCTTTCTTATGCTGTATTCTGACCATTTAAAATGTTTACTATTCCTACAACAAGCCACAGAACACCATGCCTCTATGGTTCAACACATATTCCCCCTTGTTCCTGGAATGTGATTCATTCACTCATTCATTTATTCATTGGTTCATTCAGTTGTGCTGGACCCTGCATTGTGACAGAAGATGCAAGGAGACAAGCCCTTTTTCTTGCTTTCATGCAATGTACATGTATTAATATCACAGATGAACAAGAAAGATGTATGTGCTATAAGCAAAGCACTGTGTGCTGGACTTCAAGGTCTAACAAGGTACAGTAGCATTATAGAGTGGTGAAAGTAACAGCTAATCAAAGTCCTAGATAGGAGGTAAAAGCCTGGAAAAGGAATAAGGGACAAACTAAGGTTTAGGAGAGTGTGAAATGTTCAAAGAAAGGATTGGAGGTGAGAATGGCTAAGGCTGTAATCAGGAAGAAAGTAGTATGACATGAAGTACATAAAATCACACAAGGAGGTGATTTTAGGTGGAGTAGGGTTGATTTCGTTTACGTAGCAGCTCTTCAAGCCCATATTCACTGGCTTTTCAGGGCAGATGTAGTTGCTATCAAGGGTGCTTTCCTGTGATTCTTTGTTCACTCATTCATTGTAAGAATTAATACCTCTGGAGTACCTCTACATGTTTCTTTCCTTCCTTCACTCTGACAAATCTATAAGCTTCTTGAAACGTCAGAAACAATATTTGTCATTGTATTCATAATTAATCACAGAGCACCTGGTACAGAGTAGATTTCTGATGCACATTTTTTGAATGAATGGTATTTAATTAATGAGACTAGTTCAGGAATGCACAGAGGTCTATGCCTGCATGGATCCATAATTTTTCATGAATCTAGACCTCTAGATCACTGCTACCCTTTTTCAAGACTTGCTTAGTCTGATTTGGAGCAAGGAAAAAACCCTGAATCCACAGGGTATTAATGACAAAGGGGAATGCTTGGAGAAAAATAACACCAATCTGAATATCAAGCAGTTTTCAACCCACTGTTCAACTGTATGATCATTTTTTTCATGCCTATATCTTGTAAGCTGAACAGCTACTTTGAAGATAACAATAAGAAGTATATGAACCAATGTCATTCTCCTATTATTTGGTTTTGACATTCTGTATCATCGTTTTATTGTTTTTCTTTTAAAATTAAAAATATTAAAAATTCACCACTTTGAATTATACAACTGAATGAGTTTCAATAAACTTATATAGTTGTACAACAATCAAAAAAAAAAAAAAAGAAAAAGAAAAGAAACTACCTTGGAAATTTGGATATCTTTTAAAAAAATATATCAGTCATAAGATTCATCCCAAACAAAATAAACAAGAATCTCTAGAACAGTGGTTTCAATCTTGGCTGCATACTGGAATCATGTAGGGAACTTTAAAAGATATGCATGCCTGGTTCAGTCCCACCAAAAAGAATCTAATGCGACTGTCACATGGTGGGAACTGGACGTGGGACTAAAGCATATCCAAGATGAAGACCACTGCTCTAGTCAGTCAGCATGGGTGATTTTAGATCGTTGGATCACTTGAGAATTTGCTTTCAAACTGAACTGCTACGTCAGACCAATTAAACTGAAAACTCTCAAGAGTGGTATCTATTTTTCTATTATTTAAGCTTTCCGATAATTCCTGTGACCATCTGAGTTAAAACAATGTTCAAAAGAAAAGTCACCAAAGAAACCAGACACACTTCCATTAAGACTTAGTAAAGGTAGCCCTACTGTTTTACAATAGGTCTTTTGTAATTCTTATACAAGGTACCTGGGAGATGAGAGAAAATTCATGAAAAATCGCTAGTCTTTTGGCAGAGTACATACTGACTACTTTGCTTCTCTTCTATCATTTACAAGAGAAGGTTTTAGAAAGAACCAGTTGTATTGAGGAGGGATGTCTAAAAGCGAGACTAGCATATCTTTTCTGTTTGCCTAGGAAATGCATGGGTGACCTGCTTGCATTGTCTGTCTTCGAACAGAAGGAGAAAAATGGAAAGCAATGATGAGTGGAACCAGAGCTGTCTTGCTGGTAACCCACCAGCCCAAGGGAAATCAGGGAAATAGAGAAAATAGTAAAACACAATGGAAGTCTAAGAAGCAAAGTTTCAAGAGCTCAGTCCCTTCAGTGTCTAGGCATCCTGGCCGGGGCTGGAAACCAAAAGGAGGCAAAGGAGCAAGTGACAATTGGACATGATACTGGAGTTTTAAACAGAATTCAAATACCCTTTAGAATTTGGATTTGGTTTAAAAACCTACAAGGCCAGTATCTGGAAGGAAGCAAAAAAAAAAAAAAAAAGCCTTCAAGCCAGCAAAATACATAGCTTTACGACCACTGCAATGCAGTGCATGGTTTATTTATAAGAGTCCCCTAAGGTTCTTGTTCAGAATCTCCTTATGGTTATTTTATGAAACTATTCTACAATTTTGGTTACTAACATAGATATTTGGGTGTATTAGTGTGGCTCAAATTAGGACCAGGGAGACTGCCAGAAAAATCAAACACAAGCAAGATATTCTCCTCCCAAATATTCTCCCCGTTTCATCTGCTAATTATCATATTATCAACCCATTATGTAACTAAAATACCTGAATATTATCAGTTCCCTGAATCCCTTTCACATCCCAAATTCAATTCATTCCCATTCTTTAAAAGCAACAATAAAGGTAACTTTTATTTAATGCCTGAATAGTGAAGGTATTTTAGGCCATTTTCTGCTGCTGTATTAGATAATCAAAAACTGGGTAATTCAAAAGGAAAAGAAACTTATTTTTCACAGTTCTAAAAGCTGAAAGGTGCAAGACCAAAGGGCTGCATGTGGTGAGAGCCTTATTGCTGTATTAAATGTGATGGTGGGTACTACGTGGCAAAAGAGCAAGATAGAGCCGGCTTTTATGTCAAAGCTTCTCCCAAGATAACTAACCCACAACTTCACTAACCCACTCCCTCACTAAAGGTGAATATTGATAATTAGCCTATTCCTGTGGGTAGAGCTCTCATGACCAAATCTCTTCTAAAAGGTCTCGATTCTTAATCCTGTCTACTGCAC